CCTGCCGCGTGGGGGGCCAGTGGCAAGTGGCGGCGGCGCTGCTCGGGTCAATGGCGGCCCGGCGGGGGGGAGAGGTCTGTCTCGGTGTGTCTCGGTGTCCCGGCTTCTTCTACGATTTTTTTTTTGGCGGGGGTTGTTCCTTTTTTCGGGCGGGGGGGGGTGTCTGTGTTTGCGTTTCCTGCGAGTTTCTTTTTTTTTTGGGGGGGTTTTCGGAGAAAAGGGAGGGGGAGGGCGGGGGAGATCGAACGATACCCTGGTAGAATATCTGTAGTGTTAAAGTTAAACCACGACATTTTTAGAATGCAGTTGTATGTTCCGAAGCCAGACGCTCAGGCAGCAAAGCGACTGCGGCTGAATGTGATCACCTACAGTGCAGCCATGAGTGCTGCATGGCAGAGATTTGCAAAGATGTGTCTAAGGCCCAGCCGCAAGCCACATCCCGTCAAATCATGACCCTAGTTCAGGAAACCTTTGAATCGCACAAGTTAGTCTATTTTTTTGCAGGATGCTATTGGGTGGACACCAGCGTTGTTCGAGATTCTGAGGCCACGTGCCCAGCGTCGTACATGGGGTGGCTCGTCAGTTTTTGAGGATACCCTTTTTGGGGTTGGCTTAAAGGGATACCAGAAGGAAAGCCGCCTTTGTTTTTTTTTGGTGGGGTCCGCGAAAGAAAGACACACATAGCTTTGACATTGGAGCCTATTGGGGCATTCCGAAATATTCCAGTCTTTTCACCCGCGGTTTGGGAACACCACCTCAATCCCCGCCTGACTTTTGGGCCCATTGTTTCCTTCACCGTAATTTGGTCATAACGAGGAGAAACAATACACACACCGCCCTCAAGCTTTTCTTGGCGTTCATAGGCAGTTGTGGGGCACCCATCGCAAGTTTGACCTCCGTGAAGGTTTTTTGCCAATCGGACACACCCGAAAATCACAAGCGCCGCAGTCAGAGTCTCTTTGAAAGAGTTGACAAAGATGGTGTTGAACATGGGTATGTGCCAAAATACTTGGTTGTTGTTGGGAAACAATTTACATGTTTGCTTATTGTGGTTTAGTGGGAAACCCCACTTAACGGCTAACATTTAATTTTTTGCTGCCCTTCCGACGTCAACCAAGAATAGGGGACCCTCCACAATGGTTGCCTTTCCTGGTTTCCCCTTAACCAACCCGAAGAAGGGCACTATGGCCCTTTGGCCCTCGAAAAAACCTGCGAGGTCTGTGAGATGTCGGGGCTGTGGCAGCTGGCGCTTCACCTCTTGCAGGATGGGACCTGGGCATAGGGAAATAAGCAGCTTGGGGTGTCCCATGGTTGGGGGAAAATCATGGGGTTGTTGAAAGGATACCCATGTGCATAGTAGCATAGATTGTTTGAAGCATGGTTACCCATATTTGTTTCAACCATAGTGTTGTTGAAGGGATACGTGCACTTCTTGTAGCATAGGTGGTTGAAGCATGGTTTGATCCACTGATCAAACAACCTCCTTTAGTTTCCTCTAAGGGGGGCGCCCGGGGGCGGGGGGGTGGTTGTTGTTTTGCCCACCTAGGTACCCCTGTTAGGCGCTGGACCAGCATGAGAGAGTGACCCAAGACGCCGTCCTCTGTAGATTCCCTCAAGGTAAAGCGCGTCGACCAACAAGCACATTGGACCCACAACTGGTTGACCCACCTTTTGAATCGTGTTGAACACGCACTTATGCGATCCCAGAAGTCACTCACGCTTTCCAGGACCCCCAGATCCAGGTTTCGAGGAAAGGCTTTTGTTGGGAGCCTTTGCCCCCTAGTTCGACCGAAGCAACGCGTTGAACAGCATAAACCTCAAGCCAAATCAATCACAATGCGGGGATAGCAGGGCATTGCCTTTCGTGCTAAGCTGGTTGACGCAGTCTTGTGTTGATTTTCTCCTGAGGGAAATATTCGGGCATTTTGCTGCAACAAGCAAGTTGCTTTAGGAGGCCACCCTTGCTTTGCCAAGTGGTTTTTGGCTTTATCCTTGAAGACATGTTGAGATATGGACCCCCCCTTTAAGCCGGTTAGTGTCAAAAAAGTTTGGGCCGTTTCAGGAGGCTGCTGGTTATTTTTATTTTTATTTTTATTTGTCGGCGTTTTGCGACAAAGGGTCCAAAATGGGTGACCCTGCAAGGGTGAGCCAAGAAAGGTCTAAAATGAGCGCTTGAGCCTTTTAGGTCTTCATTTTAGACCTTCCTTTTGACTATGAACCTTCCCAGAAGGGCAGGCCTAGCGTGAGCCCTGACGTTCTATGGCGCTGTGCAAACGCCGCGACACCCCACACGTGAGAAGGCTTCCGGGCCCAAACATGTTGTCACAATCCTCTTCCAGTTTGAAACAAGTCAAACAGTGTCCTTATGGTTTCCTTCCGTTCTATTTCCATTCCTGTTCGTTTCCCCTTTCTCTTTGGCTTCTCCTTCAAACTCGTAACATGGCTTTCTACCCTCCCTTGCTAGATGGTTTTTCGACGGAGGAGTGTCAGAAAGTGGTTTTCTAGACCCTGCGTACCCACTGCGTCACGCTCTTATGCTCAAAAAACCCCCAGCTAGATACCCGCGTTCTCCCCCGTTTTCGGTTGGGACCCGCTTCGGTTTTTGGCCCCCCCCCCCCCCCCGCCGTTTCCCGCCGCTTGCCGCTGGCCGCTGGCCGCCTGCCGGCCGTTTCCGCTTGGGGGGCAGGAGTGCCAACGCGCCGTGGGGGCCAACGTGGTGGCCTGCAACGCCGCCATCAGCGCCTGTGAGAAGGCGGAGCAGTGGCAGCGCGCCGGGGCTTAAGAGATCGACCAGCGAAGCGTTTTTGGGGCCGGGGGAAGGTCCCTGTCTGTTTTTTGGGGAGGGTGCCCCGTTTTTGGGGGCGGGGCGTGTTTTTTTTCTTCTTCTTTTTGGAAGGTGCCTCTTTTTTTATTAGGTTGAAAGGGAACCAACAGGAAACCCGCATTTTTTTTGTCGAGCTAAAAGACACAACTCTGAAAGGGGTGTTTTTGGAGGGCACCCCTGTGTTTGTTGGTTTACCGGGAAACCAAAACCAACACCCATTTGGGCGCCCCTTTAAAAAACGACACCCTGCCCTAAATTTTCACTTTTTTGGAACCTATTTCAAGTGGCGATCGTTTCAGTGAACCAAACAGTTGATCAACTGTAGGCAAAAAGTTGCCCTGATCACTATGTGCCACGATGTGCCAGGATGTGCCACCCAGATCTCTGGTGCCCTTCACTTTTTGCCGGCTTGTTGTTCGTCAAGCCACTAAACCGGAGGAAGGTTTTGGATGGCAGACGCGAGGTCGTTGGAAAAACCGCCTTGGCCCTGAGCAAAGGTGCCCTGTTGCTGCTGCAGCTGCTGCTGACCGCGGCTTGGATCTCCCATTCGCTTATTTGGGTGTCTTAGCGAGCGATCCCACCGACGTGTTTGGGAAAGAAAAAGAACGGGCCCATGAAGGGAAGGGGTCCAAGGCCAAGCTGAATGCAGGGGCTTCATTTGTTTCCAGCCTGAAAGGTTGTTTTCGGACTCCTCTTGGGCGCTATATTTTTACGTCAAGCTTCCTTTTGGTGTCATATAGTGGCTCTCTTGCGACTTTTTCCGGGGGGCACCAAGGACCAGAAAACGGGCCCTGACCCTCCCAGCTTCCTGAGTTGGCTCCGAGTCAGTATTGAGCATTGGACAATACAATGAACACCTCCCGCGCTCCCCCTTGCCCCTGACGAACAGTTTAGAGCTTCTCAGCCAACTGGCTATGAAGTATCCTGGGGAAGCACCTCAGTGGGGAAGGGTGGACATGACTCTCCACCATGTCCACCATTTCGGGTCTCAGGTCACCCATTAAAAGAAATCGACCCTTTTGTCACCATGGCGCCACCAGGAAGGTGTTGCCACCACTGTGAGCTTTAACGCCTGCATCAGCGCCTGTGAGAAGGCGGGGAATCGTTTGGCTGGCCGGGTTTAAGAGGACGGCCATTTTCCTGCGGAGTGAAAACGCTTGCAAATGGAGGGAACCCAACAAACGATGGGAGCTGCATTGAGTGCTCAGACGCCAAGTGCCATTTCCGATCGCGGCTATTTTTCCCCTGTCGCGGTTCTGGGTTTCCTTGTTGCGGTTATAAGTTGCAGAGCATGTCGTGGTTGCAGCGGCGTCTCATCAACAAACAAGTTCCTCTTTTTTGGGAAGGGCCACACGGAGGGAAACCACTTAGTTTCTGGTTGCATGTCCGATTCTGACAGTGTTGCCCCGCTCCCAACCCATCATGGAAGTCTGTACACTTTCGGCAAGAGGGTTGCGTTTAAAAGAGAAGGTGAACCTCGCCAGTCGGCTGGATCAGGGCCATCAGACAGCTCGTGACCGCCCGTTTTTTTGTCAGGGTGGCTCCCGAGCTGGCCCATGACCAAAGCCCACGGATAGAACATGGGCGTATCCTCTTTTTTTGGGACGCAGGTTAGTAAGGGACAGTAGCCCTTGGCTCAAAGTTTCGGGGGCCGTTTCCTAAAGACTAGGGGCTCTTGTGAGGGCTTGCTGTGGTAGGGCTTGTTTGCCGCTGGCTCAAGACCTGTTCAGCCAGGTCCAGCCCTTTTTATGGTCCAGCCCTGTTTAGCATGGCGCTGCATTCGCCATGCGAATTGGATGCCATGGAGGGAGAAGGACAAGTGACTGGCAAGCGTGGCAAAGAACAGCCTGGAGCTGTGTGACATGCCTGGAGGTGGCTAAGGACGGCCAAGCGCTGGAGTTCGTCTCGGAGGAGCTGCGCGGCGAGCGGGAGTCCCTGTCGCCGCGGAGCTCCTCGGAGCTGGAGGCGGGTGAAAAAGACCTGGAGGCACCTCAGAGCAGCGCAAGGACCGGGGCTTTGTCCAGGAGGCGGTGAAGAAGACTTTGACAAAGACCCGCGCGTAAGTGAAGTGGGCCGGCCAGTGCTCAGGGAGGACAAGGAGTTCTTGCAGCAGTGCGTTGACAACTGCGGACTGGCCTTACTACGAGGCTACACCGCCTTCCACAACATGAGGGAGAGAGAGGTCCTTGCCACTGGCACAAGGAGCATTCGGCCCAGTCTGCGCGCACGCGAAGGCGAACGAGCTGCAACAGTGTGGTTTGATATCGATATCGAACCACACTGTAGCGGTTCTGGCGGCTCCGCCGACTTTGGCAGGTGGATGGCAGGAACTTGGGTGGACAAGTACGGAGCTGGCTCGTCAGAGCCGAGCGACCAAAGGGTGAATGAGTTCAAGCTGCCAAGGGGTTCTTTAAGAACGGCGGCCATTCTTGAAGCCATTCTGCGGTTCCGGCGGCTGCTCTGACTCTCAGCAGATGGACGCAAATGGGGATGCGCAGGGAAAAGGTTGGGGTCTTACCCATAGTTTGTTTCATTTCGATTTCTTTTCAGGGTTTTCCACCCCCAAAGTGGTGGTTTTGCTTTTCGTTTTCCTTTCAACCACAAAAAAAGGTAGCAACTCAAAAAAGATAACCTACATCGGCTTGGTTTCCTTTGGTTTCCCGCCATCCGGGGCCGGACTTCTACCCTTGCGCCTTTCCGGGTCGAGCTTCTTTTGCCCCCCTGAGAAGGGTGCAATGTTTGGGGGGGATAGACATGGTTGTTGTTGGGAAGCAGTTCACATTTTTGTTTATTGTGGCTTAGTGGTTGACATCCCCACTTAACCTGCTCAAACTTAAATTCTTGCTCTTCCAACGTCAACCGAGTAGAATGGGGGGTTGTTCCAAATGAAGGACACCCCCATGACTTTCACATGGGAAAAGTGACCCATGGACCCATGGGCCAGGAGCTATCAACTACTTTGACCCACGCCATGTGACATGGGACTCGTAGTTCCAAAATTTGCAGAAGAGGCGCCGTCAACTATATCGGGGACCTGCACACTTTGACCAGACAAGTTGGGCGCAGTGAAATGTTAGATTGTCCGCTGAAGTTGTCCACAAGAGAGGGTATTGTAGAGTGACGTCGTGTTGGGAAAATGATGACGCTGCTTGAGCCTTTTCCTGAAATGGTCAGCATCTGGGTTAGGCAACCTTGCACTGCATTCGAATGAACCTACACCCAAATGTAAAGCAATTTTTGCTAGTTTGGGTGCTTGAAAAGTGACCCAGAATCTCAGAAAACCCAACCAGGAACCATGATGACATTGCTCAGGAAACGATGCTTCGGCCGAATCATGCGGTCATGACTTTCCACTCGACCAACAGGTTCTGGTCGATGGAACTCCCCCCGTGCAAAGGGTTTATCCAGCTGGGGGCCCAACTAAAAGTTCCTGGCCTTGGGCGTTTCGTGCTCCCTTTCGCAGGCCAGATTTCTGGAAAGGCTCGCAACGGGAAACCCGGCAGACTGTGCAAGTCAACTGGTCCTTTCTCCTACCCCGGTTCTGAAAATTTCGGCACCTGACCTGGTTCTCTCGTTTTTTTTGGTCTTTGGGTCAGTTGGCCTTGGGGAAATCTTGCAAACCCTGACACTGAAGCCGTGGGTGCGTTTCAAACGGGAATCAAAAGGACACCATGGTTTTGGGGGCAGACCCAGGTATCCTGAGACAGACCCAGGTATCCTGAGACAGCTTGTCTTGCAGGAGCCGTTTCGCGTTTCGCGGCGAGGCGGGCCAGTGGAAGCAGGCGCTGCTGATTTTGAAGAGGTTGGAGGAGTCGCCAATTCTGCCTTCAGCGACTAGGCGGGACAAGAAACCGGGGAGCCTCTGGATGGGCGCTCTGATTGGGTGGCAGTTGGAAGCTGCTGTGGGCTGGTATAAGTTGGGGGGCCTTTTGGCTGGCTTAGATCTTCATGAGGGTGGGTCTTGGGGTGGTTTGAAGTTGATTTAGGAGAAGCGAAGGGCTGACATCCAGGCTGCTGTTGGGCGGGTTTAGGGTTGAATTTGAGTGGGTTTGTGTTGGCTTGGAGCTGATGTGTTAAGATAGTTTTGGTCTCGTTTAGGATCGGTTTGGGAGCGTTGCCCCAACAACCAAAACTCGCCCACAACTCACTTAACCACACCCTAAAGCAACCCTACAGCCGCCGCTAAACCAGCAGCACATCTAACACAAATCACCTCCAAGTCAACCCTAAGCCCGAGCCCTTTGCTTCGCTTAAATCAACCCCAAACCACCCCAAGACGCACCCTCATGAAGACCTAAGCCAGCCAAAAGCCCCCCTAACTTAAACCAGCCCACAGCTGCTCCCAACTGCCACCCAATCAGAGCCAATAGGCAACCCCAGGTCCAAGTGATGCTGGTGATGCTGGGGATGTTGCCAGCCCTGCGGAAAACCAGCCCTAGGAAAAAGCAGCCCTGCAAAAAGAAGCACCGTTGCCCTTCAAGAACAAGCGTTTCCAAAATAGACCTAGGGCCTAAAACTAGCTTCTCAATGTCCTTTTGGCTTCTCTTTCAATTCAAAAAAGCACAAATGTGTTTCTCAAATAATTATGTTGACCTCCAACCAAACCTGGTGCGGTGTTGATTCATTCGGACACATGATTCTTTTCTCACGAGTCAAGCATCTTGAGAGGGATGAACTTGGTGTCGGCGACGTTCACCTAATCACCATGATCAAAGTCACCTAGCTATCGCCAGGAAGACCGACCCTCCTAAGAAACCTTGGTACCCATTGAACGCGGGAACTCAGCCCAGCCGCAGCCCAGCAGCCCGTCGGCCCGAAAAGAGAAGTGCACAGCCCGCAAGTCTCATCACAAGCGAGATCCGGTCAAAGGAAACCAAAGGGTTTCCCCAACATGTGCGACCCAAGGCTCGCACCTGTCAGGAGAGAGTCTTGGATCATGTTAACTCCCCTACCAGCCTAGAAAGAGTTCCTCTGAAAACCCTTTTTCTGCTTGGACAGGTTTCTTTTAAACTTATGGCTGAATTTTTTCCATCCCCAGCTTTTCCCCGGCTTCTTTTGCCGCACGCGTTGAAGCGGTGTGGTTGGATGAAGCTGCTGAGTACTTAGCAGGTTGTAACTGAATCACCCCCTTTTTGCCCGGGGTTGAACATCCACGTAGGGAAGCTGTAAACAACTGGTGCCTTAGCCACCCGAGGGGTGCCTGATGTTCTGTGGATGAATTGGCAGGTGTTCTCTGCGGATGACACCCGCTCGAAAAACCGGGGGTGCGGCTTAACTGGGGCAACCACACCTGAAACTCCGAAAACCACCGCTCCCACCAAATTGGAGGCCGCCAGGCAGTACTGTGGATGGACGAAATCCATTTCGCACCACCTTGCCATGGGAACCATTGTCTGTTGGCATTTACAAGAAAAACCATCATTCCAGGGTTTCTTAGGTGGTGCGAAGGGATTCCGTCCATCCACAGTAGGTTCGATGGAGTTGAATGACGTTTGGCGCCTTGATTCTGACCATGGGCGATCTGATCCGCGGCCAATCTTCATGTCGGCCCCAACTGTGACAATGTCGTGCCGATCGATCGACGATCCCCTATAAACCATCCAGCCTCTGGTTTCCTGAAAATTCCGGGAATCCCCGCAAAACCGGTTCATTTTCAACACCCAGAGGTGATTCCTTACTGAGCACCAGCAAGTTTTGGTTGGATTTCAAAGGACACCCACAGGAAACCACCATCCATCCTCTGGTTTCCTTCATTCGGGAATCCCCCAAAACGGTTCCTCCTTCTCATTCCCCACGAAGGTCTCACCAGCCAGATAACTGCGCCTCCAAATCAATCGGGAAAGAAAGTAAAAAAGTAGAAGGGTTCGTATCGACGTCATTCTTTTTCTGAGCAGCCTTCGCCTTCGCTGCCAATCGATCGATCGACTCCCGATGGATGTGGCATGGGTCAAAACTTTGTACCCCCAGTTTTCACATCCCAATCCCCCACTAAAATAGGAAGCCTAAAATGGGCGCCCCGAAAACCTTCAAATGGGATCGCATTGGTTTCGATCCATGGCCATTTCTCTCAGGTGATCAGCTTCAACGCCGCCTGCGGCGCCTGTGCCAACGCCCGGCGCTGGAGGGCGGCGCTACAGACGCTGCGGCGGATTCGAGGCAGCGGCTTGCGGCCCAATGAGGTGAGCGCCTCGGACCGGGTTAGCCGGTTGGGGGGGGGGGGGTGGGGTTTTGGGGGGGGGGGTTTGGGGCTGGTTGGGGGGGGGGGGGGGGTGGGGTGTGTGGGGTGTGGTTTTTGCTCGATGTCTGCTTTTGGTCGGAATTGAAAAGGGACGGAAGGAAAGCATGGCCGGCACTTCCTTGTTTGGGCGTTTTTGTTTTTGTTTTTTTTGTCATATCTCATGTTAAGAGACTCAGAGATGGGGTACGGGAAATGAGGGGAGGGGGGTGGTGTTTCTTGGGTCAGAATAGGGATGTTGGGCATCCCATTCTGCTCCAGGGATGGGAATTCGGAATTCGTGCATGTGTAGGGGCACCCACCGCTTGCTTGCTTTTCCTGGTTTGCTTGTTAGGCACGCACTTTGAGGGTATAAAGTGGAATCTCCTTTTGCCTCTGTCCATTTTATTTTTATTTTCGACGTGGTCAAGGAGCGCTTTCGACGTTTCACGCGGCGCATTTGACGCGGTCCAAGGCTTCAACACGGCCCTGTGCTGCTCGGGCTGGCGCTTGGTCCTGGTCCTGCAGGAGATGATCACCTCAGAGGCGCGCGGGGCGCGCGCGCAGCGACCAACCCGTTTTAGGGAAGCACTGGGTTTGCAGGGCAAGCGTGGGTGTCAGTTTTTTTTTTTTAGGTGGGGGTTCTGAGGGCAAGCATCTTACTGGTCTTTTTTTGGACCAGTCGTTGATTCTAAGGACATTTTGAGAGAAGTCATGACATGCAGAGCCCTTCGAGTTGGTTTTCTGGTTCTGATGCACAAGGGAGTTGCCCCTTTGCCCCGCGGCATTCCTGACTAATTGTTTCGCTCTAGCCTGCTTCTGTTTGGGAGGGAGTGGACCTCGCCGAACCTGAGAACCGGCACAGGCGCGAGGCCCAATTGGATACCAGAGCAGGTCTCGAAAGAAACCAGGGGAGTTTCTCAGCATTTGGATTCTGATGTCTGGTTTTGTTTTGCTGGGGGGGGGTTGTGAAACGGAGAAACCCTGTAATTCTTCTGCACGTGTTCAAGGATTGTCTTTGTTTTGCGCCCACTGCAGGTGCAGAAACCGAGCCGACTTGATTCTCCCAAAATTGGAGCTTATGCGATTCACCGTAAGAGAAGTCGGGTGAATGTAGTTGAGCTTCCCACGCTCACTGATTGCTGAGCCCGGGTTTGAGGGTTCTCAGGTGGGTCACTTCCCGAAAAGGAACTATATCATTCCCGGATTGATGTCTTCTCGAAGCACCTTTGGGGAGAACTTGGAGAAGCTTCGCTTTTGACCACTCCCATGTTTCTTTCTCCTTTTTTCTTTCCACCCGAATGCGGCGATCGAGTTTTTTCTCCCGGGGGTGTCCCTTTTTTCGGCGGCCTCCCCCGCGGGGCGCCAGGGGATTCGCCGCTCGGCGCTGACCTTCGAGACGCTCAGCGCCTCGCTCGCGCCGCCGTGCGTGGGCGCCGTCGGTGCCTGGCGCTGGGCGGTGCGGCTGCTGCCGCAGAAGCCCAGCCCCGTGATGCTGAGGCGGAACGGGAGCGTCGGAGGTAGACCTGGTTGTTGCTGGGACGCATGTTTTATTTTACATTTTGGGTTATTGTGGTTGAGTGGTTGAAATCCAAATCGGAGGATGGGATGATAGGCGAGCTTCCGAGCGATGCTTCTTGTTTACTTGAACCAGGCTGCCAGTTTCAGGGGGAGTGAAAAACAGAGGCGGGTTTATTACAGACCTAAGCATGGTTGTTGTTGGGAAACAGTGTTTTACATTTTTCCCTAGTGGTTGAAATCCCCACTTCGCCGCTACAATCTTCAATTTTTGCTCCCCTTCCAACGTCAACCAAGTAGATGGGAGATGGGGCCCTTCTGGATTTTTCTTGGAGGGCCCCCCCAAGCCTTGTTCTTTTCTTGGTTTCCACTTCGGGAAGCTCAAGTGGCGATCGCTGGGAAAGTTTTGAAGGGAAATCCTGGGACTTTGTGGTGGGATATGGGTCAGGTTGGAGGTTTGCTAAAGGTTCTTCAACAAGGTTCTTTAAGTTTTAGTCAGGTTTTTTCGATTTTTTTTATAATAAAGTTAGGTTTTTATCTTTAGTTTTTTTGTCTTTAAATTTAAGATTTCGTAGTGAAAGAGTAGGCAAAAGAGTTGGGAGGGGGGGATCCTACTTTGCTATACTTTCCGTGATGACCTTGAAACCTTGTTTGACAGAGACAAAGCAGTCATAGGAACCGGAAGTAAGCAATTTGACCATCACAGAAGCATGCACCCATTTCCCACAAACAGGCAAGTGCTGCCAAGCGATCTTTAGGGGTCACCTCCTTTTAGACACCATCTTCAAACCCTTTTTCGGGCCAATGCATTCAGTAAGTGTACAAAAGCCCCATATGTGCCATGGACAAAGGATACCTTTACTTGGGGTTAACAGGGATGCCCATCCCGGTGGTAGGGATTTCCTGAAAGAACCATGACCCAATCGGCCTTCCTATTGAGGGAACTATGACCATAGGCCGCGTATATATATATATATATATGAATCAGACTCGCAAGAGACCGACGACCCAATCGGCCAAACACACGGAGTCCTGACCATGGCACATTCCTATCGAGGGAACTATGACCGTAGTCGATTATATGTATATATATATATATATATATATAGAGGCATCTATATGAATCAGACTCGGAAGAGACCGACGACCCACCCGGCCGAACAAACGGAGAGTTTTGGTCAGGATCCTGAACAAGCATAATGATTCCTGAAAGAGCCATGACCCAATCGGCCTTCCTATTGAGGGAACTATGACCATATTATTTGTAATTTAGTTTGTCTCCATGGTGTGAGTCTCTTGACGTCTGGCCCGTCATACATGTGTCAACCATAAGACTGTTCTGTGCCAATAATGGCAACTGTTACTTCTTGTAATCCTGAGATGGATACTGCTAATGAATCTGCTTGCCGTGGTGGTTGTGGTAACGCTAGCATGTGTGTCTGATCCTGATGGTACCAGTTGTCATCGTAGTGCATCTGACTGTACCAGTCATCTGTCTGGTCGTTGGTGTCGAAGTTGCCAGTGTCGCAGTTGTAGATCGCCACTCTGCATTGTTTGGCCATGTGTCCTGGCTGTCCACATCTGTAGCAAACATTTGTTGCATGCTTCCTTTTGTTCCTTTTCCTCCTTGTTGGTTGTTGTAGTATCCTTTGCCTTTTCCTTTGTTGCTGCATCCTTTTCCTTTGCCATGTCCTTGTTGTCCTTTGAAAGGATTTCCTTGTCCAACCGGTTGCTGATTGTATTTGCCTTTTCCTACTTTGTAGCTGTTGTAGCTGTAGTTGTTCCCGTAGTTCCCGTAGCCCTTGCCTTTGTTGTGCTTTCCTTTGCCCTTGTGTTTGCCTTTCCTTTGCCTTTGTTGTACCATGTTGCTCCTATGTCCATCGGTGCCGGTCCTTGGTTGTTGCTGCCTGATGTGATTGCTTGTAATCTGGTGAATGTTCTGTT